AAAAAAAAAAAAAGATTGAGCTTTAGCTTGTACACTGAATATTATCTGGATCTGCACAATTTGATCTATTGTTATTGTGTATGTGTATGTTGCTAAGAATAGAACCCAGGGCCTTGTGCATACAAGGCAAGCACTCTACCAACTGAGCCCCTTGATCTATTATTTGTAGCATTTGTTTTATACAGTGAAAGGTGGCATATCCATTTGTTTCTGCCATAACAAAACATCCCAAAGCTCAGGAGCTAACACAACCACTAATTTAGCTCATGACTTCTGTTCTGGTCTAGCTCAGCTGACCTCTGCTGGACGGCTTCCTGCTCGTGCAGTCTGCCTGTAGCTCAGCTCAGCTACCTGATCCTAAATCAGCCTTGCTACCATGGTGGTGGATGGAGGCTTTCGCCTGGGGCCACAAGAGCAGCGGCATCACCTGTCCCTTGTCATCCAACAGTTAGATCCTGCACCAGATGATGAAGAAAGGGAGCAAACCAAAGGACGAGGACTGAGGACTCCGCAGCCTCTGGTTCCTTCGCATTTGTCCGTGATGCTTGGCCAAGGCAAATCCCAGCCCAGATGGAAAGCCTGAACCAGACTCCTCCCCTTACTGGGAGGAGCTATGAGGTCACGTGGCAAAGAGGCGGGGTGCCCAGGGATGGGAAACTTCTTTCTGGGTACCGCAGGTGGTACCCGGGGCTGTGAGCTTATTTTGGTATTTAGTTATTCCATTTGCTTAATTTTTAATTTTTTAAGCCCTGGCCTCTGGCGCACTATGCAAGCGCAGCATCACTGGGCTGCAACCCCAACCCAGTGCTTAATTTTCTGAATTTTGATTTTTCTTGTCTGTAAAATGATCATGAAGATGATGAGTAGATTTGAAGTAGTGTTAAGGATTAAAAGTCATATGCCAAAAGCTAAAGGACATAATTGGAAACACAGTAAATAAGGGTTCCTCTCTCTCCCTCCCGCTCTTTCCCCAGGGCCATGGTCCACCCTGCAGCACCGGTGACTGGGGAAGCTGAGGCAGGAGGACTGCAAGTTCCCGACCAGGATGTAGCTCAGCGGATTCAAGCCCTGGTACCGGGAAAAAAGAAATTCTGTGGTTTTCAGGATATTCACGAAGTTGTGCAACCATCACCCTACCTATTCCAGAAAGTTCTATCATCCCAAACAGGAACGCTGTATGCATTAGTACTCATCTCCAGTTCCCTCCTCCTCCCAACCCTGGCAACCACTAATCCACTTTCTGTCCTTATGGATCGGCCTCTTGTGAACATTTCATGTGTGAGGAAGGATACCATGGGCCGGTCTCTGT